GCACTCTGCATCCTAACACTGCGTCAAATTTATACGTGCTAATAGGTTGCAAGGGACATCTGAAGTCATAGCTTTTATAAATTTACATGCGCTGGTAACACGTATTGATATAGGAAACAGATACCTTTTGTAAACATTGTTATTGTAAGATATTAAACATTACACATATTTATTTTGAAAGATCATTGTACTTCTTACTTCACTCGCCTTTTTTTCTCCCTGCCTGTAGATTCATAGTTCAATTGCTGCTTTAATTTTCCACTCTTTTATTTGTATATGTGCAACTGAAAGTATATAATAGTCCAGGATGATGCAGCAATCACTTCCAAGCTGATTCCCTAATGTACAGAGGGGCTTGTTGCTGTGCTCGAGCAGGCATGGTTGTTACAACCATTCCCTCCACCCTTTCAGCCACAGATCTGCAGTGTAAATGAACATGCTTAAATTATCTCCTTCTGGCCCTCTCCTGATGATTTCTTATGTTTTTTTTGTCACATCCTGAATAATAGCCATTGGAACTAAAACTTGTTTGAGTCTGCAATGAGGAATGGGAATTGCAGTTAAAGATCTTGTACTCATTAGGTCTCACTGCAGCACTGTACCCAACGAGGTAAATGAGTCGAGATAATAAATGTAAAACTTTTGTCGGCTGATTTCAGTTATGTGTGGTAGGAGGATATACGTAACATGTTTTTCAAGCAACAGGTCAAGGCCACGTTTACTACAGTTAATTTTGAAGAGATTTCCTGGTCAGCATATTTGCAGTGACCTTCATTCTGATGCCATAATCTCATTTTTCATGCATAACTTGATGGTTTTTCTTAGTCAGATTTTTTTTTTTGCGTGTTTAATCATTCTGCCAAGAGATTTATATGTGGACAATAGGCATATTTAGTGATGAAACATCAGAGCCTGTGACCTTCTCATGAGGTTCCAGACCAATGTTTTTTTACTGATGCCCTGCAGAATTCACTGTAGACCAATTGTGTTTGCTAGGGGTTCATGGCTACCTTGTTGGGTTTAGCTACACAAACTCACCCTTAAAAACAACCCAAATGTCAATAGTGTTCTGTCTAGCTCATTAAATGTTCATATTGTTTCCTTTTTAAATGTATCAAATGTTTTCTCTGTATTTCTAGGTTACATATTGCTTATACTTATACAGATGAGTAAATTCCATATCAAACTGTTGTGTTATGAACATCACTGAATTGTGTATTCCAGATACTTCCTTAGATCTGCAATTAATCTGCTTAGATTAGCCTTAGACTTGGACTTGGTATGTTTTGTTTTTTTTTTGTATTTGAACAATTTGTATGAAATTCTACGTATCCATCTTATGTCAGTTAATTAGCCCTCCATTTCAGAGGTATGGATGTTGAGTTCTGTTTCAGACAGTCGTACAGTTTTTCTTAGCCAGTATATTTTGAATTTTGGTGCCATGTTTCCTTGGGAATGCTCAGGAGAGACAGATGGCTTTTGAATAAATGAATGAGATGGATCTTTTGATTTCAACTAGAAACCTGTGTTTCACACCAACCCCCTCCGTTGTTGGGAGGCTTGTAAGCATCAGGGCACAGTGCTGCAGGGAGGATTTTCAGCATTACAATGAGATGGCCTTGAAGATTTTAATGAAGAATAAGGAGCTAAAGCATCCTGTAGCATATGGGCATTGAGAAAACACCTTGGAAAAGCAGTTCTGTGCGGTACTTCACTATGCATCTTCTGTCCTTGTTTGTTTTAATCATCTATTTGTAGCTTAGGTGTTTGGCAGATTCAAAAGAAGTGGAAAGTTTAATGGTATTTGTAGGAAGGAAAGGTAAAAAATCAGGGTCAGTCATCACAGGTCTGTCAAAAGAACATTTTGAGACAAACCTAATTCTTAGCTGCCCAACACATCCTGCCCTGCTCCATCCTAGCCGTGTCGGAGTTCATCAGACCACTTAAAAGGAGGGATGTTTGTGGATTCTGGAAAAATTAAGAGGTACGGTGACCTGCCTTATACTGTTCCTGCCTCTCATAAGTTCAAGTTGTGCCAAAATACCCATGAGGCACGCTGCCATTTTAAAAAGCAATTGGCAGGCTCCTGTGAGCACACATCTAGGAGCAGTGCGTTTCTCCAGAGGGTTGAAAGTTCCTCAGGTAGTGTGGTAGAAGCTGTCTCTGCCTCTTAGTTATAATGTTTTGTTTTTTTTCTGTTCCTGCAGTTAAATTGGTACCTTTGTACATTTGGGGGATATTTTTCAGTAAACGTGAAGCTCTATTACGTTATAATGTTTATTATCCATTCTTCCTGATAAGTGTTATTAAGATAAGAAATAGATGATTTCCTATAGCAAACTAGAGCATCTGAAAATATATTGAGATTTGTCCTTTGCAGAGATTTCTTTAACGTCCTCCCCCTCTGAGAAGATCACCTCCTAGAGCTTTACCTGCTCTTTTGGTGGTTCTGTTTTCTTCCATTTCTAATTCAGGCACTGGAGCTCTTTTGGGAAACAATCTTGGTGCACTGTGGTGCACTCTTGTTTTAGGCAGGTCTGGGCTTTAGTCAACGAGGCTCTCATTTTGATGCAGTTTACATACATACAAAAATTGAAGCCTCATCTTGTAAGCAAGACTTGAGTTTTCTTAATCCAGTGGTTCTTTTTAGCTGGTCAATGTGTCTGTTCAGAATGGTTTCTTATGGCAGCACCTCTGTGCCTCAGCAGAAGCAGGGAGCAGAGCCTGCCGCTATTCTGTGAGGTTTTCAGAATTTATGAATTACGTATTTTACTCTTCTGAACCTTAAGGCATAAAGGTAGAGATTGACCTGAAGTTAAGATGAATCAATTTTAAGCTCAAATCTAAGGCTGAAGTAGCAACAGAATGCTAATAAAGTGGTAAAAGTAAAATCCAATGTTCGAATATTCAGAGATACACAGGGAGATACCAGCCCTCATTGGAATTCATCCATGACATTTCTTCAAGACCAGATTCAGTAAGGGTTGATCCTTTTAAATAAAGACAGGGGTGAGCGCAGAGTCCACTTCTCAGGGCTTCAAGCCTCCTTGCCTGCTGCTGTACAATCACAGTTACTGTCTTTTCTGGGTGAAACTTGAGAAGGGTTTGAACGGAGTTCACTGTCTAAATCCCTTTCAGCCGTGTGCTTAATTGGATTTTGTTTTTATTAAGATAAAGGAAATCATGTTTCCTTGTTTTTTTTCTCTGCTTATTGACTTCACTGCAAGTAATAGTCCTTAAGTAATAGGGTCTAACTGCAAAACCTATTTCAAAATTCATGTCTGAACTATTATCCATACATACCTTGATTTAATAGATCACAGAATCACAGAATCATAGGGGTTGGAAGGGACCTCCAGAGATCATCGAGTCCAACCCCCCTGCCAAAGCAGGTTCCCTACACCAGGTCACACAAGTAGGCATCCAGGTGGGTCTTGAATATCTCCAGAGAAGGAGACTCCACAACCTCCCTGGGCAGCCTGTTCCAGTGCTCCATCACCTCACCTAAAGAAGTTCCTGCGCACATTTGTGCGGAACTTCCTATGCTGCAGTATATGATATAGACGTCGATGAGATTTTCAAATACAAGTTTTTGCTTCCAATTTAAGCGAACCTCAGAAATAAAAAGGATAACTTCTTGTGTTAACAATATTACTCTCTGTAACTGAACGTGGAGATGAAAAGTATTCATAGTAAACGAGTACTTCTGCTGAAAGGAGTGGAAGTGAGTTGCACGTTACCAAAGGTGGGGTCTGGTAGTTCCTCCTGCCCGGGCTGGGCAGGAGCACAGTGGAGTGGCTGCTGTTTTCTGAAGTGAGCCTCCCTTCTTCCCTCTCCGCAACCTCACATCAGGAAAACATCAGCCTGAGCTTTGAAAACGCACAGCTAGACGTGTCCATTAACTTCCCAGGTCTCCTTGCTAATTATTTTTACAGTACATTTTGATTGTATGTACAGAGATGACATGATATATAAGCTGTTATTTAGTTTGAGTACTTGCATACTGCTTCTCTTACAGTCTCTCTTTATGTTGGTAAGATATGTGTTTTTTTAATTAAGAGGCTCAATACCCTGAGGAGGAGCGTGCTGAGTGAAGGTATTTGTCCTGAAATATTAGAGAGTAGAGAGAAGTGACCTTTGACTACCCTACAAGTATATGTGTTTCTTCTAATCCTCTCTGTCTTCTTAAAACAGCCACACCTAACCTGAAAGAAATACAAATTGTACCTCTTACATCTGCATAGAGCCAAATCTCCCTACATGGGGAACGAGGTTCTGCTTCTGTTAGCTTTCTTCTGTAACAAAACAGTTGGCTTTTTTCCTTGAAAGGACACGCTCATAGGCTAACACTTCCAAATCTAGAAGTGAGCCATATTCCCAGGAAAAAAGAAATTAGCTTTCGATGGAAATGCAACTTAGTTTGTGTTTCTTCATAGGTTATGCCTGCCCTTCCATTTGTTTCCAGTAAGATTCGGACAACGTACTTAGGAAATGCAAGAGCGGCATAGGGCTGTTGGGCATGTTCTCCCTCTGACCTACTTTGTTTCAGATTGTTTTGAGGGAGGGAAAGGAGCAATTGAGAGTCCTGGGGGATGTAGAAAAACAAGAGATTTATGGGAAACAGAAATCTGGACTTCTGCATGGGTCTTCGAAGGTATTTTCGACTTATTCTTGAAACTGCTTATCTGAAGAAAAACACAATTACTCTTCTTTATTTTTTTAGTTGTTTGAGAGGTAAAGCTGTTTCTTGAGTAATGACCTCAGAGTTCACAGGATGCAAAAGTGAGGTCTGCAGTTGTTTGTAAAGAAAAAGGATGTGTGGGTGATGTAAGACGTAGTAACATACAAGCTAATGTGCTTGAAGTGCAGTGGTACTAAATTAAAACTATCTTCTTCAAAGTAGTTGAATTGACTACATAATATAGTAAAAGCATCCTTACTTAAGAGATAGAACGTATATATATTTTTTCAAACTGAATTGTTTTTCTTTATTGTTTTAGGGTATAAAGCCAGCAAGCTTTGAGAAAGTTACAGATCCTGAAATTAAGGAGATAATTGGGGAGTGCATTTGCAAAAATAAGGAAGAAAGGTTTGTATCACATAATCAAGTCTTGTGTAAGTAATGTATATGCAGAGACTTGTGGGTTCTCTGGGTCTCCTCTGAGCAGAATGGGAATATAAATGATTACGTTCCTGCCATGTGGTGTGAAGATAATAAAAAAAATTCAATTGCTGTGTTTCTCTCAAGTTCAAAGAATAATGTAAAAAAGGAAAGTTGTGGACTTGTTTTCAGCTTTGATTTTAGAAACTACTCTTCTATGTGGTCTCTCCTGGTCTGGTTGTGTATACCCTGACTTTCAGAAATGCAGTTCCTGGGAACCTCAGGTGACTGTTTAGAGAGAACCTTGTTTTAGAACTCATTAAGCTCAGATATTCAAGGAATATTAAGCGAGGCTGTAATCTCCATTTCTTAGTATGCTTAAGATGTATGCATATTGAAGAAGCTTTGTTAAATATGAAACACAGTAGTCCTCAGCAACACTAGAAATGTCGCCTCTTTTTGCTAAAAATAGAAGTTTGTTATGAATAAGCACCATGAAAACTGTAAATTTTTGCCTCTAATAGCAATTTTTTGTCACAAGTTTCTTGGACTTGCAGTGTTTGACTATTCTTTATTTCCATTGCAGATATGAAATTAAAGATTTATTAAGCCATGCCTTTTTTGCTGAAGATACTGGGGTAAGGGTGGAACTTGCAGAAGAAGACCATGGTAGGAAATCCTCTATTGCCTTAAGACTCTGGGTAGAAGATCCTAAGAAACTGAAAGGAAAACCCAAAGATAATGGAGCCATTGAGTTTACTTTTGATCTGGAGAAGGAAACTCCTGATGATGTTGCACAAGAAATGGTAAAATAAACTTCTCCTGACAAATATATGTATAATTAGTGCATAAATCTCAAAGGACAACAGGAGCAAGTCTGGTAAAGTAATTTCAGTTTAAACCATTCTAGATTAGGCAGTTTGCACTGATCTTGAGGTTGAATGCTAGAAGAAAAAGGGTAATAAACTAGAAAGACTGAAAAACTGAAAAAGGATGTGGAATCAGATACATGAAGTGCTGTTTCAAAACAGCAAGTCACTTAAGGACCAGAGAGGTCTCTTCTACTCTTATATTTTGAAAATTCTTTTGCTAGTTTATCTTAGCAGTTCATATATTTACATTTGTTTGAAATCTATTGAAATATATTTAATGCAGTTTAGGTTTTTTAATGTCATGGAAACAAAGAGCGAGTAAGCTCATAGTCAAGGGTCTGCATTTTCTTGTGCTTGCACATGTGTTGCTATTATTATATCCTAAATCCCAAGGGATCCTGTTTATTGATGTTGTCATCAACACTCCTCCTGCTTAGGAAGCAGTCACTTTGCTAACATCACCTTTCTGTACTTGGAGTCATCATCTCATGTATCCCAAAGATAATGAGAAAATCAAGCCCCTGTCACTTGTTTGCAGTAGGCCCAGTATCTTTTTCAGCAATATATTGTTACATAAGTTAACAGTTGCTTTACTACAGTTACTTACTGTTGTATTTTACATCTATATTTAAATATCTATGCAAGTATTTGGAGTTCTGAAGTTCTGAAGTTTACTCTGCTTGTGATATTTTGTTTTTCATGGGAAATAATTTTTGTAGTATAAGTATGCTTACAAGATATCTAACTACTGTGATACCATAGCCTTTCCCAAATTAATTACTTTCAAACTTGAATCTATTAGAGGGACAAGCATTCGTAGATATTTTTCTCCAGTCCAAATGTTATCTTCTGAGCAGTTGAATTCTGAGAAATGTTGCTCCCCTTTTCAGTCAAATGTGAGCAGTCTGAGTTGAGTTTAGCCAAAATCTTTTATGAAAGTAAGTCAATACTGACTTTGTGTTAGAAGTTAATTTGAGTCTAAATTCTGTTAACATATTGACTTGCAGTGTTATCAAGCACACCAATTTGGGAAACTCTGAATGCTAGAAAGGTTAAGGCAATAAATTCTGATTAGAGGTAATGAGGTTTACTCCAATTGCGTTGTTGAAATACCATTTTTCAAAGATGCTTTTTTCTTTTGACTATTTCATTAGTCAAAACAAAACAAAACCAAAAAAAAAACAAGAAACCAACTGCAGTTAAGCTTATTCTCTTCTCATCATCGGAGATTAACTGGCTAATAAATCAATCAGATAAGTAGTCAAGTCTTTATAAAAATTACTTGTTCTTAAAGGCACTAGGGAAAGAAGTTTTAATTCCCCCCAGAAGTAAAGACCTCCCCTCCCAATAAATGAATAAATAACAACCCATCAAGCTCTTGAATTCCTGTTCTTGTGAGCAGTGAGTACGTTGGGTTTTTCTTCAAAGTAATGCTTTCTGTTAGGAAGTGATTCAAGTAAAACCTGTGTGCGCTTCTGCTTGTGCACCACTGTGCACACGTGGTCTTGCTAAGTGTGTGCCTCTTCTGTAGATTGACTCTGGATTTTTTCATGAAAACGATCTCAAGATAGTTGCGAAGTCAATACGTGACAGAGTAGCATTAATACTATGGAGAAGAGAGAGAATTTGGCCTAGAATACAGTCAGAGGAACGCCGAGATTCTGAGTGCTTGGAGAAGTCGAAGGCGCCACATCCGCAGCAGGTTCAAGTCACGTACCTTTCCCACACCGGTCATCACATCCTGTCCGAGTCGGAGGAACCTGAGGCAGACCAGCATCCCTTCCAGCAAAACCTGCCCACCAGCGTCACATCCGTTGCATGTAAGTCTCAGGTTTGCTTTGTGTACGCATGATAACAAATGTCCCAGTATGAAAATCAACAATTCTGTGAGCTCAGCAGTCGGACACCATGCAGCTTTTGCGTGTTAGCTCAGAGGCCACAAGTGGATCTGGCAAGTGCAGAAGGCTTGAAAGGAAGGGTTTCAAGAAAAAGCGCTGTTTAAAGATAACTCCTTCTTCAGTAGCAATAAATGCAGAAAAGACAAATACATTTTTAAATGGAACAGTTGGTGGGATTGCTACTAAGTTTGTGTGAAACAATTGCAGAATTTGATCTGGCAGCAAGGTGGTTGCAGTGGCTGGTGGTGGTCATCGTTCACTTTTTCAAGTGGTGTTTGCAATGTGGGGGTGTTTATCCAAAGCCAGATCTGGCTGAAGATGCTGAAGCTGCTTGCGTTTGATGGCTTATGTGATGGTTTTGTGAGTCTGTGCAGTGACCGAGAGCAGAGGAAAAAAGGCGCTCTGAATGTTATGTGGTGTAACTCAAGATTTCCTTTTTCTATGGGAAATAACTTGGACAAGGTTTGACAATATCAGACTTTGTGGGCTGACAACATTTATTGGGCTCTTAAGTCATCATGCAGGTGCTTTCTCTGTCCATCCAGGCTCCCTGTTTTATCCTGAGCTTGTGGACCTGAAATGAGGAAGTAGCTTGGTCTATGTTATGGAGGGTCGGAGTAGGTAGTTGCTTGTATTCCTCCTGGCACTGATGGCCACAAGCCAATGATCTACCTTCTCTATGTTCAGAGGGTGGTTGATTTGAAAATAATAATCACTGGGCTATTTCAAGACAGGTGGGTTTATGCCTCCTGTTATAAAACCAAGCACTGGTTTTGTTCTTACTCTGAGTAAGGAACTACCTGGTCTTGCAGAGCTTGTTTCTTCATTTTACTTCTGAGCATCAGACTTGTCTCCAGCAAACAGCAAGGCATGAGGAAGTAGTGTTTGTAATTGCCTAAAATACTCAGCCTTGTCTGTCCCCTAAAATCAGTCTTTGTTAGCAAATCTTTGCTACTGAAAAAATTTGCTACTGAAATCTTTATTTATACCTTAAACATCTTGAAGAAAATATTGCCAGATAATTTTAGATAAGAATATTTGAATTTTTGTGAGAGTTTTTTTCTAGCCACTTTTTCTGGTTCAAATCTGATGTACATATTTTGCTACTAAACTATTATCGTGATGGCTTTGTTTTACTGTTCCAGACTTTTATGTAAGCATATTTACACTCAAGGTACTTTAGCAAAGAGACAGCTGTTTCTTTAATGCAGGTATTGTATAAATTGCCATACAGAGGCTTGCTTTGAATACTAAAACAACCAAGCACGCCTCTAGACAAAAACAAATCTTTACCAGGTGTGAGAAATGCAGTATTTGCTAATTCTCAAGAATACTGGAGTATTTACAAAGCTTATTCTCAAGTCATATTGATCTTATTTCATTTATTTTAGATAATGTACTTACCTTATACTAATCCTTTGAGGAACACAATGATTGTGATTCCTTATTTCTGATGGTGCAATGAAACCATGCTTCCTACAGTTCTGTTGGTGGTTAACTAGCCATATTTTTTAGAAAATATAACTTTCTTTCTTTATTTACTACTCCTCAGCTTTTAATATTTCGTATTATCAAATGTCTTCAACAGTTTCTTAGTGCCTAAGAGCTCTCTAAATTACTTTTCTACCAATTCAAATAACAATGTGAGATGAGATGTGAAAGTGTAAGTTAATACTGTTAAGTGTAATGCATGTTGTTTTATAAAACCTTAGAGATTCACGGCTTTTATAATAATTAATCCTATGCTGCCATAGTCTTCTCATTTCTTTGAGGTCCTTAATAATTATTTGTAATAAAGTGAAAGCGTTTATGCTGCAGAACTCCCTACCCTTGTAGTGGAAAGATGATTTAAACACATCTGTAACTTAAGCCTTTTTTGTTAACTATGCAACCGTTCTCTTTTTGAGTTTTAAATTTCTATCACAAGCTCTTTGCCTTTGGATGCTTGCAGCTACCTTTTCAATTGTCCTTTGTTCTTCTCATGAAAAATTTGGTAGCTTATAATGAAGAAGTACTGAGCACCTGCACTTTACGGGCTTCAAACACCGTAAAAAGATATTTTTAAACCAGTAATGCTCGATGGTACAGTTAGAAGATTTATTTTTCTGCAATAGAAGATGCCATGCTTGCCCAATGTCAAGTTATGTGATTCTGCAGATTAATTGGGCTAACAGTTGGCATGAGAAACACTGGTAGAGCTCTGAATTGTCCTTTTAAATGATCGCAAACCTGAACTGAGGTAGCTGTTTCATTTCATTCTCTGACTTTGTTTTTATGTACAGGTGGCTAAAAGCTTTCCACTTACAGATAACAAAATCAGGATGCATTTTGGTTATAATTCCTCTGGCATCTGTTCTTGTAATGCCGCATAGCCTGCACACAGTGAGAGCTGCCCTAATGCTGCTGCTGCCTAATGCAGGGCATCATGTTATAGGCTTGCTTAAATAATGCTGCTTTACCTTCTGTCACATACATCAGTCAAAAAATCCATAGTACATTTTCCTGTGACTTCTTCATGGTATGTTTTTCCCCTCATCCGATTGAATTATTTTACCTATTCTTCATCTCGAGGTATTGCTGTATACTCAAGTTGGTGGTTATTTGAGGAGCTAATGCAAAGCGTATAAAGGGTTGTGTGTTTTTCTACGCTGCTAATCAGAAGGTGCTAAAATCAGTGCCTCTCTAGAAGAACTGACTCCAGGATGCCACGATCTGCTGTGAACATTACAATTGGAGTTTTCTATCCTTTTATCCTAGAAAATCCATGGAAGTCTGCAGTTCTTGCTATCAACCATACGCACGCCCTTTAAAGGAAATATCAGTGTGCTTAATATCATCGTGCACAGAAATCCATGGGGATTACTCTTGGGTTTTGGCTTAGAAGGAGCAGCATGTGCCCTTTGTAGAAAATAACAATTGTGTTGTATAATTTATTTATAGAATGGAAAGGTCTAAGGTAGTAAAAATCCAAATTACATAAACGAAAGTTGACCTTGCTCTGAAATCATTACCTGAACGCTTTAAGTTGCTGAGCTCAAAATAAATAAATAAATAAATAAATAAAAATGTAATTCTCTTTTCAGCTGACAGCACATTCGACAGTGGTCAGGGGTCCACTGTTTATTCAGACTCGCAGAGCAGCCAGCAAAGCGTCATCTACTCATCCGTGCCCGACGCCGTGCCGCCTGCCATCCAGCGGGTGTACAGCCCGCCCCTCAGCGAGAGCCAGGCGCTGCCCCACAGCCTCCCGCAGCTGGGGCACTACCAGCAGCCCTCAGCAGTAAGTCTGAAGCTTCTCGAAGCTGTGCTGTAGCTTGGCTCATACTTAACGACTGCTTTATGCTGTTTTGAGTAGGTGTAGATTGCAGGGCTTGCTTTATATAATTCTTGCTTGTTTCTACCAGTGTATACTTGCTTAGTGCTTATGTCTCTAGTTGATCTAAAATGTGCACTGAGTAGACAGTGTACTTGTAGTTCATCGTGCCATTTTTAAGACGTGCTTCCCTAGCAGCTGTCTTTTTTATTTTTTTCCCAATTAAAGAGCTTTTCATCAGTCTGTTTTCGCTGAGCTGCAGTAACAGTGTAGCTGTTTTTTACAGCTTTTGATTTATTGCTTTTAAGCTCATGCATAAATTTGAGAACACTTGTTTGTTTTCATTTACTGTCAATATAGCCACACATTATTGCTCCTTCACTTGTTCAAGACCTTCTTGGGTGTGATGTTTCTCCCCACTGTGACAAAGGTCAAACATCCGTTCACTACCTTTCTGGCTCTGGATTTAATATTGCACAGAGACGGCGAAGTACTTCCATTATTGAGGCTCCAAAATCGAGGACTGGTAGCCCAGTCAGGCTTTCACACTGTTGTGACCTTGACCAAAAGCAGTTAATGGAACTAGTGGTGAAACAACAAACGAATGCGAGTGAACACAAATCTTCAGGTGATCCCACTGAGAGGCACGGTGCGGTGTTCCCTTTAGAAGCCACAGCTGCCCCGTGTTCCTGTTGCAGCCCACGCTTGCTGCGTGTGGCAGGCGATGCTCCGTGTGCTTTTCGTCGCCACAGTGACTCTGTTGTGAGTTTGGCTCCGGATGCGATGTCCTGTCCCCAGGAGTTAAGGGAAGGGAGCTCTGACCTGCAGACCAGGGAAGGGGAAGCAGGCACATCACCGCCAATGGCACTCGGGAACTCAGCAAACCCCACGGAGCTGATGTTTCTCCAGCAGGCTTGTCAGATGTGCCTGGCCTGCTTATTTCAGTCTGGTAAAGACCAAAGCACGCCAAAAGTGTTGATGCCTGTTGAATGCACTCACTCCCTGTGCAGCCGGATCCCAGACAAGTCAGTGTCTCAACCTCTCCCCCAGACCAGCGGGCCGTGTGGCAGAAGTTTAGACCTGCCTTTGTTACATGAATCTTTACAATACATAATTAGCCAGAAGACCAGTTCTTCTCCCATGAGATCTGCAAGGGTTGCAGAAAATATTCCGCCTTTTGAATCCTGTGATTGTGGAGAAGCCAACATGCCTGGACTGTTCCAGCCCTGTCATGAAGCTTGCACTGGCAAAACACTGCTGGCAGAGAAGAGCAATTGGGTGACTGCAGCTACCCTGAGCAGTGGAAGCAGCCTACCCAGTAAAAATGACAGTAATGATGTGGTAGGTTAATTCTTTGTTTCGTGCTATTTGACTTAAGAGAAGAAAAGTCAAATCCAGGACCAGTGGTTGTTTCCTTCTTGATCCAGATTTACCCAACGTACTTTGGGAGTGCTTCATTTTCCCTGGTTTTACCTTATGTTTTCCAAAATGCCTGCAAGAAATTGTGAACAGTATTTTGTGAATGCACTGAAACATGACTCCATTTACCTGAAGGAAAAACCCGTAGCCAGATCCCTCCACTGTGGAAACCACCTTTCCCATGTGCATACTTCTGCTGAGACGCATCCTTCCTCGTTTCTTGTTCGCATGAAGCATTAACTTAGCTCTAAATATAGCACTCAAAAGGCACATCTTTTAAAGGTTTTTTATTATTATTACGTTATGTTGTGCAGCATACTGTTTTAGAGCAGATTCGTTCTTTTCATTGGTAGGTCTCTAATTTGGACATAAATACATTACTTTTTTTTTTATTGGAAGATTTGGAAGAATAATAACTTTTATTCACGGGCAAAAATCTGACTCGAAGCCTTCCATAATTCAGTGATTTTTGTTAGAAAGATGAATTACCATTGTGTTTTTCCTGGGAGATAACACCAGCTCAGAACTGGAGCTGAAATAGCTTTTTTGTTTCAGGCTTATAAACATCAGTCTGACAAACTGCTTAGCTTTAACATCTTTACCTACTCTGAGCTGAAGTATCAGAACTATTACTGGTACAAGCCTTACCTAAACTCTTTTTTTGTCTTAATTTCCCTTGTGGTTTTAATTTTTTTCATTTCTCTATTTATTTTCTTGGCATCCATCTCAAGGAAATTACCTGTTTCTTTCAAAGATGAAGATTCTTTATGAAATTATGAAAGTCTTTGTGAAGTTACTGCTTTACTCCATTAGTGGCTGCTTGTTGATATATCCTCTGTCACTATGTATATGCTTTCAGTGGTTTTACTGGCTTGCATGCTTGCTTCCAGATGAAATGCAGTGCAGTGTGGTTGTCTTATTGGCCTTTGGAATGACAGCTTTTTTCTATGTTTTTAGATTAATGAGCTTTCCATTCCTTGCAGATAAGGTGTCATCATGTCTTCTTCCTCTGTTTTGACCTAAGTATTAAGTTGACCATTTGTTGGAATGCATACTCTTGGCAGTTGCAGGGACTCCTTCAGCAGGAAGCCTTCTCTTTTCCCTAACCTTGCCTTCTCCTTGCTGCAGCCTGCCCTGCCCGTTGTTCAGGCTCCACCTGCAGTGGTGCCCCAGAGGCCCCAGCACTACCAGGAGCCAGCGATGACGTTCCCAGTGGTGCAGCCGACCACCGTGGCCTCCATGCAGCTGGGGCAGTCACAGCCAGTGCTGGCCAGCCAGCAGGTGAGGGGCTGCTGCCCAGGGGCTTCACCCCACACCTTGTCCGTGCTCTACTGGAGACAGTACCTGTGATAAGTTTCAGTTCTTGAGCATTTACATTGCTTTCGGTATAGTATTTCATTATTGGTTTTTTTGTTTTTTTGTTTTTTTTTTTATAATAGGCTTTTATTAATTTCACTTCATTATTTGGCAGCTTGTGCTCAAAATATTTCTAAAAGGTGAGAAAGCAACTTTGATGTTGGGATCAGTTGTCTTCAGGTACTTGGAGATGCTGCTTTTTGATTTGTGTCTTTTAATTGTAATTCAGTAAAAGCATCTATCAAATCTCTTAATCTTCTAAGAAAAGAATCTCTCTGAATTGTCTCCAAATAGTAACTTTTAATGTACATTGAATCATCAAATTCCCCAAAAAGTCCTGGTCCTTAACAGTGTTTACACAACACAGCTTTCAAGCAGGGACAGCTGTGAAGGTTGCAGTTGCTTCCTTGTACAAAGATGATGTCAGGCAGTAAGAAATGTAACCACAGACCTGTATAACGTGTTGATCTGTGGCTCATTTTTGTGATCATAGCAAAACATTGGCTTCCTTGGGTTGATGAAACTGTTGATGAGGCTGGGGAATGCCTATGTGCTTTATGTCTGGCACATATTGGGTCTCTTCATACCTTCCTATTTACCAAAATGTGTTTGTGTTAATTTTTTTTTTTTTTAACATGCCCTATTCTTCTTAAAGAATCAGTATAAAAACAGTGTAATTTGGTGTCCTTGAAAAATGCCTGCTTATGTGAAATTTTATGATGCATTAGATATTTTTTTTTCTGATGGACAGTGATGATGGTATGGTTCTTTGTGCCAAAAACTGTACACTTTCTCAAGCACATTGAGGACATTTCTGATCACAGTAATCTTCCTAGTGTCCTCTGGAGCTTTATGCTGACAGATCAAAACATGTTGTTCCCCTGGAAAATGCAGTTTTGGGATAGGGTATTTACCGAACTTAACTAATTCTATATACTCTTCCTTCCAAGCATTGCTGTTTCTTGAAATAATTCCATCTCTGTTAGTAAACAAAGACAGAGCAGTCACTGTATCTGTTTTCTAGCGACTCAGGCTGCATAGTTCCCTTTTTCTGTTTGTGCCCATGTATACTTCCTTTGGACACTGATAGAAGATGTGCTGTGATATGAGCTCCGGGACAGAGTTCATGCCTGAGGCCATTAGTTTCATTAAATGAAATTGCCCTCAGGATAAAACTGGATGCAATCCCAGATCAAGGCAAGACTTACGCAGTTTTTATTCTTAAATTTCTCAGGATAGTTCAAAGCAGCAGAGACGTGTGAAGAAAACACATGCAGTTCGCAGCTTGTATTACAGTTTGCAATGTAAGAACACCTGAGTCCATCTCACAGTGCTGTGGGAGACGTAGCTCAGTGACTGTTCAGCTTTTGGTAATTGGCATTTACCAATTTTAGGAACTTTTAAATGTTTGTGTCACTCTTGGTTCCCTTTAGGAAGACCTACTCTGAATACAGAATCTTCCTTCTACTCTGAGCAGCAGAGAACTGCAGGTTTTTGTAGAAGGACAGTAGGCTGTCTCAGCCCGAGTAGATGAAGTCGGGGTGATAAATTCATCTCTATAAAAGAGTGAAATATATTGATCGTTTATGAATATATGCTGATGACTCAGATGGAGATCAATATTGCATCTCCTCAGTATTTTATTTTTTTCATTTTGGGTATCTGTCCACTTATAACACTGAGGTTAGGTTGAGCCAAAATTAGTGCAATTCATTTGGATTCTTTCCACTCGCTACGCTTCACCCAGTCCACACACATTTTGTAGACTGAAGGTGGAGGCCTTAGGAAGTTACCTTAGTTCTGTGAGCACAGTTTTTCTGCCTACAACTCAGTGTCCCCTCAATTGCAGGCAGGTCGAGCAGCCGTGGTCAGTGGACTCAATTCCCAGTTAGCTGCTGGCAGCCTGTCTGAGCTGCAGATTAACCCAGCTGCAGATGCCCAGATACCTGAGCTGGCTTTGTGCTGGGGAGATTTATCAGCCCAAGCATACGCTGTGTGGAGGTGTGAGAGGAATGCTCTGCTGGGACTCAGAAATATTGCAGGAGATGAGCTGGTGCTGTGCAGAGCTGGTCAGTACCTGTTCAGTGCCACCTTCAGTGCTGCTTGTGGCATTCAGGCCATTCGGCCCCAGACAAGGAGTGCCAGTAGCCACATGCTTGTTTGTTCACCGATTGGAAACTTAGCAGTTGTGGCTGAGTTTTTGCTGTTTAAGGCTAGGTGGCATCTGGCTCCCTTGATACATCATGTACAGTTCTATTGTACTAATGTATCTAGAAATTCTGGTTGATGAATCCTGCTGCTGAAAAAGCGCAGAGCAAATTATTGCTCTACTGACTTACAGCAGAAGTGGCAAAAATGAAAGGTAAACCTGCTTGGCTATTCGTTTTGAACTTAGAATGAACACTAGGCATGGTATTAGATTTTATGTGCTGCAGAGCTCAGGCTGACTGATGCATGTCCAAATATATCCAGCGCCAGCTTGGTGCCTCAGCACCATGTTTCTGAAACAAGGTGTAAAATATTTGTAGTATTTTCAATGTTAACAGAAGTGAGGAAGGAGATGTCGGAATCATAGAAAATGTGACATTTTTTTACTAATTATTTTCAGCTTTTGTACAGCTTTTTTTTTCCTCTATGCTATATAAGATCTGGCAGGCCAGTGGAACATCATTCCCCAGGTAATGGTAAAATTGCTTTTTTGGCTGCCACGTTGTTACTGCAGCACCTTACACATAACTGGGATCTAGCTGGAGCTTTTATGATAATTACTGTTTTGTTCACATCTCAAATAATGTGTTGTCTATTTCAGCGCCTGATGCATTACATAGTCAGCTCTTAAATACCAAGATTAGTGGGGTGTAATCTGCATAGTGGGACTCTTTGAAGCCAGTAGGTGGGGATTTTACAAGGCCAACCAGAACAATCTCTGGGATTTACAGATTGAGTCATTAAAAATAACCTTTCCAAAATAGTTAGAGCTTGTCTTTTCAGGTAATGTATCTGAAGTTCAAATGTGTTTTAAACACAGGCTCTTGTACAGTGTTTAAATTAGGAGTACCCTTCCCTTCTACAAAGCATTTTTACTGAGTGATGGTTCTGATCTGACTGTGCAGCGTAGCTGTTTCCAGTGATCTGATTCGTTCATAATATACATGTTATGACCTTCTTTGTTCTTCTTTCTTTCCTTCTTTCCTGGCAGCAACCCATATCACAGCAAACTTCTCTGCAGCAGGTGCTTGCCAGCCAGCCGGTTTGCCCCATCCAGCCTGCTCCCCATCTCCTGCCCCAGTACCAGCCCCAGACCTCTCAGGTGGCAGCCAGTAGTACACCACTGAAACCCCTTCAGATTTCAACCGTGCCACAGCTTCCTCCAGTTGCCCCTTCCCAGGTAATATCTCTTGAAAACTATGTGAATACATTGAGTAAAGCTTTCCAGCTAATAATTAACATGATTTGCAGTGGTTTTCTTTTTGTGTGTGTGTGTGGCTATTTTGCATGCATGCAATTCAGTCCATAGGTATTCAACATTCCCCTAATCCCTTTATTTTTCTTTGTCGTATGTTTTTGTTTTGAAAACCAAAAATATCCTTTGTGAATAATCCTGTGCCATGCCGAGATAATCCAGTTAGTTACAAAATTGCTATAATTGCATATTTTTTGCACTTTCCCCCATGGTGTATTCTTCCCCATTCCAGGCTTTAGAGCATGAGAAGTTGTCCATTTTTTTGTTTTAGAGCTCTTGGCTTCTCCACAGTCTCTACCTCCTTCCCATCTCTGTTCCCAAGTTCAGTGCTGGGGATGGACCCTTCTTATGCCTGGAATGGCTTGCTGGTGTGCTTGCTAGTGGCAGCCATTGTGATGTGAAACAGCTTACCCCAAGGGGAAGAAGCAAGCTGCTTCCATGATAATGGGGTAGTTATCATGGTCTGCAGTGTCACTGGGAGGTTTTGGTTTTAAAAACCATTTTACAGCATTTCCCCTGCTGCCTGTGATGCAGACAGACTTTATGAAAACAAAGATTTTTAATCATCGTGTTGTATTTTGCATGAAAGAGTGCACTATTTTGTCTGGTCTGATTCCATTTCCCTTCCGTTAAAATGGAAGCAATATTTTGTTAATTAGGATGTTGCTTGAAGGCTGCAAACTATCATGAGAAATAGTTTTAAACTCCCAAAAATATCCCCTTAAAATGAAATTTTATTTTTTTCCCCTAATGGTTTAATAATTAAGTTTTTATTACTGTTTGTAAACCTCAGGAAATAAATGGAAGTGATTAACAGACATAATTATCATGGCACAGGTGATCTTTGCATACTGTATGGCAAATGAAACTGCTTTGTACCATCAATGAAAGCTCTTGCAATTTATATGATATTATATTTTTTTCAGATTCCTCAGTTTCCTGTCATTCCTGCAATTACTCCTCTGGCAGGACTTGACAACCTTCCTCCAAACCTCTCTGATATACCTGCTGCAAACGTGCCCCCCATACCTGCTCCTTCTCAGTATTTCGCTCCAGCTGTGATTTTACCGAGCCTCCCCATGAACCCCACTTTGCCCATGGCACCAAACTCCCCCGCCCTCCCCATGCAAGCAGTGAACCTTCCTCATACAACTGTGGCTTCTCTGGTCTTGCCCTGCCAAACAATAGTGCCAAATATGTCGGCTGCTACAATACCATTGCTTGCCGTGGCTCCGCCAGGAGTGCCAGCGCTGCCGCCGCACCACGCGGTGTCCCAGCTGCCCCAGCAGCAGATGTACCCGACCACCTTCCAGCAGATAATCCAGAGCGAAGCACCCTCTCCCCATCACACGCAGAGCACGCAAGCCGTTTCCCAGCCGCAGCAGCCTCCACCTCCTCAGTCACTTCAGCCAGGTGTAATTCATCCATCAGAACAGCCACTGCCTGCCCCTGGGGCCGGTAACCAGGTAATCTGTCCAGCGCTGGGCTGTGTCGGTGCTAGGCTGTAGGGTGGTTGTTGAACGTTCTGGGGGCTCGTTCCACTCTAAATGCAATTGGGAGATTGGTTTCCTGCATTAAGATGTTCTGTTAACTCTTTGTCCTTGGTTCTGGAGGTGGTTGCTAGAGCTGAACTCGTGTGAAGCGCTTGAGGTCTTTACGTGGGGGCAGATGGATGTTGTGGGCATAAGGACTGAAAAGTGGGCAAAGTGCCCGCTCCTGAATTCTGTCTTCCCTCTCCCTTCTCAGTTACAACAGAGTGGCAGGGAAATGTGAGCTGTGGTTCTCCTGGGGCGGGAGGAGTGACTAAGCCCTGGCAGTACTGCATGGCACTGGTGATGCTAATGTCTTTCTGCCGGTATACTCGTGGTGCAGGGACATTGTATACAGATGGCAAAATACGGATGAGCTGGCAGGAGCAACTGATCTGAGAGCTGTTTTGACATAGAACTGCTTGAAAAGTTTGCTTTGTAAAGACAAGAGAAATGACCATCTGATAACAACTCCAGAAAACTCTACGGAAGAGGTTTATCAGATGGGAACAAACGCAAGCTGCAGACCCTTTCTCCCCCTTAGAGGAAATGAAGCATAACATGAAGCTTCAGATGTTAGTGCTGCTTACAAGTGAGCTGATTCAGGGCTTGTTAAGAGTCTGTTAACATTTCCATTGCCACATCTGTGATATGACAACATGAAATGCAGCCTGACCCAAGCGGGAGAGAGCAGTAAATCTGTTAATAATAGTGTTCTTGAAAATTTCTGCTCTACTACATCACTTTGTTGTAACACACTGATTAAAATTCATAACATCCCATTTCAACCTGCCATATCATGGCATCTTCAAAGCAATACATCATTTTTTAAATTTGTCTTCAGCCATATATTTGGTACAGAAATATTGTTTGTGGGAGTGTAGGCAGTGTGGAGCCCGAGGCAGTTCCCATTGAGCTCATTAACCACAGCTTTTCCAATGCCTTTAGAAAGAACTGAATTGGGCATGGCAAACACCAGAACCAGACCAAATACATACACACAAGACTTCCATTATACTTTTCAGGATTTAAAAAATAGTACCAAAAAAATAGACAAGAACATAGGGGTTCAAAATAGTGTATTCAAAACTACACTGTTCTATCTTTTAAAACGCTTTGCACAGAAAAGTATTTCTGTAAACACAGGCATTCCTACACAGAGCTGTATTTGCAGTTGATTTCAGGTGCCTGTGTGTTCAGTTACACTCAGGTAAATTCTACTTTGAGACATTTTGTGAATTATTTTAGTTACGTAAAGATGAAAAAAAAAGTTGTCGCTGTTCTTCTGCTCCATACACTGTAGTTACTGGTCTAAAAACCTCCACTTAGGCAGTCTTGTAACAGCTATGTGTTGCAAGGCATCTTTATTTTTATCCACTTAAAACCTGGAATAGTAATGTGAGCTCCTATCTACATTCTGCACAGAGCACATGGTGATGAAACTGTGAGCTCTAATTCTCATTTGAGTCCTGATTTATTCATTTATTTTTATTATCCAATGTTCTGAATCTCCAGGTGATGACAGATACTTCACAAACAAGTAATGCAGTTTTACCTACTACTGAAAAATTTTCTTTCTTCCCTAATTCTTCTTTCCTTTTTCCTCTTCCTACAAGCTTGGTCCCCTTGGAAAAATACACAATGTTCCTAAAAGGAGAATGTTCTGTTCTTAAATATACAACTCACAGAACTGTTATGCAGAATAACAACACAGTCTCTAAGGTAGTTGGCATCTAGTCGCATAGGTCCAGTTCCCACAAAGCGTTCATGCACACAAGTTATTTTAATGCATTGAAGAAATCCACTGAATAAATGAAACTTCCTCTGTGCAAAGTTACACAAGGAAGTGTTTGCAGGATCAGGACCTCAGTGCTTAGCGTGCCAAGACTGAAATTTGGTTTGAAATGTTGAAGTGGAAGACAGTGTGTTCTGCAAGACACTGCAGATGTTCAGAATAAAAAGAGTTAATTGCCTAGCCTTTGTCCACAGGTGGTTTATATATAACAGATTTGAAAAGTGCTTATTTAAATTACTGATAAAGTATATATTTCTCCGTATGGATGTTGTGATACTGGAAACAGCAAACTGGACAATCAATTCATAACTTAAGATTTTGCTTTCTTAGTGAAAGATGGTTTTGTTTCTATAAATTAACTAGCACTTGTTGAATAAACACACTGTCATGATTATTTAGGAAGAATCCTTTGATTCGATTTGATTGTTTTAAAGCCAACTTCAACTGCAGTTGCCCTTTCAATTAGAGACCACACATTCGCATTCTCACTGTAGATTTAAAATCCTTTTTCCATAAACCACGGTGACTTTAGCGCTTTGATATGTAAGTCAGGAGCACTCTAAGTAGAGCTGTGTTTTAATTAGGTGTCTGTTGTGTTGCAGCAGGTTACTGGACATACTCAGTATGGTTTGGAAACTGGAGCCCAGGTGCCGGTACTCCCAGTGCAGCCTTCGCTAGTCATGTCACCGCCTTTGCAGTTGCAACCTGAACTATTGCCTCCCCGCGTCGCTCCAGAAAGCATTTCACAGATTCATGGCAGCCTTGCTACAGCTAGTCCACCAGTGCCCATAGATCACTGTCTGCCTCTACAGCCTTCGGGTGTTCTGCAGCTTCAGCCAGACCTTTCCCAGCCCCTGGCTCAGCAGCTCCCCGCTCCCGGCTCAGCCGTGCAGGCAGTGGCAGAGACATCGCAAGAGGTAGAGCCGTCTCCTAAATCACTCACCAGCCTGCCCTTAACCTCCTGTATGCCCGTGGGCTTAGTTCTTTAGGGAGATTCTCCGCTCTCGTGATAGAGAGCCAGCTCTAGATGCTAACTCAGCAAATATTTCCAATGGCATGCTGCACCCTGACTGCTTGTGAAACATCTCCTTGAAGTGATCGGGCTGCAGGACAAGTCAGCTACAGAGCAGCTCTTTGTCAGTAGCTGAGCACAAACAGAATTTAAATGGCTGTCTTTAAGTGCTGTGGGTCAGTAAGAAGCTGTTCTACAGAGTTTCATCCATGTTTTGTCCAGTCTTGTTTTAAATGTCTCAAGCAATTGTGCAACTGATCATCATTTGCCTTAAGAAATTATTTCATAATCCAATTCTTCACCCTTCATGCTCTTCAGCTTGGGTCTTGTTTGTATTTTGTCTAGTATTGTACAATCCTGTATTGCCTGAGTTCTAGCCTGGCCCTGGGATTGTTTTTTTTCCAAGCACTCACAGACATTACCAATTCTCAATGGTCATATAAGCAAGATAGATTTTGTTTGTTTCCTTTTGGAACTGTCAGCTTGCCCTGTCTGCTCTTTTGGCTTTTCTTACCACTCCCGTGATTGTTTAAGCTTCAGTCTTGACAGAATGTCACAGAACGTTTCCTTCTTTCCAGTTCTTTGATAGATACCCATAAGCAAAGCAAAACAAAGGTTTTGGCATTTTAGATCTTGGTGAATAAGTCTTCCATTTCTGAATGGAAATGTCCCTCAACAATTCTGCTCTCCTGTTTCTGCTTTCTCTTGAGGTTCTGTTCTGTGGTTTTTCCTCCCAAAGTAACCATTTACACCTGTAAATGGTTATTGTAAATGGTTACATCTGTAAATGGCTTACATCTTGGTTTACATACAAATGAGGAGGTTTACATCTTTACTAATTTTTTTAGCCAGTGCATTTCTTGTGATCCTTTCCTATGCAGTACAACCTAAGAATTCCATTAGATGTCCAGCTGTTTGCAGCTCTTGTCAGAATCCATGCTGATGCCAAAGCTATAGCCTTGCCTGCAGGGCCCCTCCTGTTGTGAGCTTCTGGAAATATGAACAGATATTGTTGCTATGGTTCAGTATAATGTAGGGGGGGTGCAAGTTGTCCCATGTTAACTGAGAAATCGGAGTCTTCCAGGGCACATGTCTGTCCTGACAATTTATCACATCCTTAGGAACAAGTAATGGCTGTTTTGTTAAATTCATTCTCATGTTTCACTTGTAAGTTATGTCCCTTCTCTTGTGCAGTTTGAGAAATCAGTCCAATGTCACACTTTTGCCCTCTTTTCCTGGAATGCAGAAAAGGCACTGAGTAGGTGTGATTAAAAAAAATAAAAAAATAAAAAAATTCTTGAGTGACAATATGATATCCAGGTTTATTTCTTTCAAAGCTTCCCTCCCTCTACTCACACCTGTGAAAGCTCCAGTCAGAGCCAAGCCCAGAGTGCAGGTGCTGGCCTCTGGAGCTCTTTGATATGTGAGATGCTGGAATCCTGCAGCTGTAGTGAGCTGTAAGTGCTGATCATCACAGCTGGCTCCTGAGCAAAGCACATGAGCATTACATTGTGACTCTGTGCAAAGGTCACGTTGGTCCAAGTACTCCCCATGCTGATTTTATGACATATTTTGCTAAGGTTTTCTTGGATGTAAGAGGAGTTTCGTATCTGTAGATACTCCGAATGTCGTGTTTTGTTACTGCTCTGCCATGATGCTTTTATCTGTCTTTTCTTGAATTGTGTCGCAGTACTCATATCCAAACCAATTTGGATTGATCAGGCAAATGAGATTTTGTAAGGCACTTGATGAAGTGCATTACTAAAATCTGGATACATTATGTCTGTGTTCTCACTGTTCATTAATTTTGCAGTTTTATAGAAACTGCGGTCAATTTTGGCATGGCCGTGAGTGGCGTTATAAGCAAGGAGGGGTGTGGGCTGGTTAACCTCAGAGCTTTTAACTACAGTTAAAAACTCTTCTTGTACGAGTATACAGTGATGACAGTCCAGGGGTTTGTTTGTAACTGTGTCTATGGAAGAGTGTTATGTATGTTTATAAATATATATAATTATATATATTTATTAAAAACTGATGTGTGTGTATATACATATACTGCTATATACAAACACAGGTGTGTGTGTATCTGTTACCCATATATGTAATGAGGCTGTAGTAATAGGGCGTCATCCTATCAGGTCTGCATGGTGAAACACCACTGATGCTTGGGCTACCATTGGACCAGGGAACAGGGAAGTTTTTAGGGTAAATTTCTGTTGCGTCATTATTTGAAGAGTGTATTTTTAAGAAAAAAATTTTTGTCTCTTATTTGGAAGTTCATCAGAAACTCTCACAATAAGCCAAGCATGCTTAAAATACCTAATATTATTTCAGTGGACAATACAAAGCAATAAGACACATTGGTGTATAGTTTACGTTCATTCAAAAAGAAATCAGGTGTTGATGTGAATTTGTCCTGCAATAAAACTTCTCCATTGTGGTGAGGAGTGCTTCATTTCTTTCACTGCCTCTTCTGCTTTAGCAGCAGCAGCAGGGAAGGGAGCTGGCAGACTGGTGTCCTAAAAGTGTCTGGGTAGAAATGATGATAAGAAGGTGAAATGGGGCATTTTCAAAATTGATGAATAGGTTAAAGAGAATGATTTAGGATATTAATAATATCTCAACAACAAACCTTTCTTAAGGATGTTTTTGTTTACTTAAATGACTTTTTCTTATGTTTTAGGAGCAGGCAATACAGGACAAGCTTCAAACTCTGTCACAGAGCTGTGAAAGGTATCATTATAATCATTTCAGCAAAAAAAAAGTTTTCTTTTTAGAGGGTGATTTTTCTGTCTTTATAAGGCTAACTGAAATGCTTAGTCTTCAGATTGGGTATTACATCCTAACCTTGATGTATGTACAACAAATTTCAGTTCAGCAAGTAATTTATTTTTGTTAAAATAACTCAAGTGGTATGATCCCTGATTTTGATGCCATTGAATCTGTACAAAGGCGTTTTATGCTGGAGTGGTTGGGTATGTAGCTTATTTCCCCTTTGGAATGGGTGTACTTGTATCACCTTCTGTAATGATCCATTCCAAGAGTGTTATAGGGGATGATGTATTGGTGAGAGTTGTATGTTGAGCCACTCAGATATATCATTATAACAAGAATTAAAACGTGCAGCCAGAGCTCATTCTGAGGTTTTGTAGCGCACAGGTTTGAACTCAAGCCTAGTAATGCATTAATTACTGAAACAATGATGGCACTTCCTTATGGTACTGACAGAAACTTTGGTAGGTCATTTCTTGTTAGGTGTGATAGCCAGAGTACATGCCTGACTTAGAGGAGCTCCTTTCACTTACTGAGCATCTCTCAGGAGCTGGCTCAATCTGGGCCAGAACATACACTTTTTTGTAGTCTGATTTTCCTCTATCTTATCTATACATAACTCTACTGTGTGATGGCAGTTTCATTCTGGGGGATTTCTTCCTTTCTCTTACAAAGCTACATGAGTCCAGATGTTGCTTCAGGTAAAGAGATGAGTGACAGCTTTGAAGGAGCAATAGGAAGTGGAAAACAAGAAGGAAAGTCTTCAAAGAAACATAAGAAATCTACACGTGCTCGTTCACGCCAGGAGAAAACCAACAGACCCAAACTGACTATATTAAATGCAAGTATTCTTTCTTTAGGGATAAATTCAGGATTAGTTCAGTTGTGCCAGAAATAATTGTTGTTAATCTTTGTTTGCAGGTTTGTAACACAGGGGATAAGATGGTGGAATGCCAGCTTGAAACACATAATCACAAAATGGTGACTTTTAAGTTTGATTTGGATGGTGATGCACCCGAGGAAATTGCTACTTACATGGTAAGACCTGGTGATGTAGCTGCACAAGGCTCCTGATGTAACAAGTTGCCTTAACCAGTTTATTCTCATATGGGCTTGTTACAAGCTGAATGGGACATTAGCCAAAAAGTTATAGTTCTTTTCTCTGTTTTGATGTGACATTGTAGGTGGAGAATGAATTCATATTGCAGAGTGAGAAAGAGACATTTATTGAACAAATGAAAGATATTATCGATAAAGCAGAAGATATGCTCAGTGAAGATACAGAAGGAGAACGAAGTTCTGATCAGGGAACAAGTCCCCAGCAGGATACTGATGGAACAGAAATGAATGAGGTAAGAAATGTTAGAGTTCTTGGTTGATACCTTTTTGTCAGTGTCCAATTACTGTAAAGAAGTTTCACAACCCGCACTAAACAAAAGGAAAAAAAAAAAAAAAAAGGTTTCTTAGCTAGAAAAACAATTCTTTAACTCAGTTAAAACTTACGATATAAAGATTCCTTGCAATAATGCTGCTCTTGCATGATGCTAAGACACTGTTTTTTTGTTGTTTGTTTCTTTGAATAGGAGAAGCGGCCATCTCAAGTGAAGACACCTGTGTATCAACAAAATGGTAAATGTGCCTTTGAATAAAAGCTTAATCTCAAGCTTGAAGTGCTGATGAACTTCTGCATAAATTTTCTAGATTCAGGAAGATATCACCAGTTTTACTGGTGGTTGTATCTAGAAATAAGGGTGTGACAGTGATCTCTGCTGTTAGCAACCTTGACGATCATAGGGGTAAGGTAAGCTGACTGACACCTGGGACATCTAGGGAAGCCCTAAATTATATCAGTAGGTAATCAGTGGTGTAAAACTCAAGAAGCATACTCTTTTCATAACTACATCTGCAAGAGAAAGTTAAAAGATGTGTTTGCATTGGTAATTTAATTGAAATTTCTAACCCACATACTTTCAACTACCTCGTTATTATTGTGGGGGGTTTGGGGCGTCTGAATGTCATTACATCTTGTGGGTTTTACAGCCGAGTGGAAGGGAAGGGGATGGTCCTTTTATCTCTGTGTAAGTGTACGTTTGTAGAAAAAAAGCTAAATCTCTGATGGAGGAAGCATTGTTTCAAAAATTCTTAATTACTGTGAAGGAAGGATAACATAGAACTTCTTTAATGAATGCAGAAACTGGATGATCTTTACTGACTAGATTTTCTGCTAAAAATATCTGGTTTATTTTTGCCTATAAAAGTAATATCATTTTTTAGCACTTTTTTTTTTAACATATATACTTATGCTGGATGTTACTAAGTGTGTATAATTCTGGTTTGCCATTTACATATGCCAGACCTTGAGATGAGACTTGAAAGAAATGTTAGCTATAACACTTCCTACTTACAAAAGTTAAAGCTGACATTGTTTTTCCATAGTAAGCTATCTGTTTGCAGAACAGTTCATAAATTTGTCTTGTATGTAATTATGATCTTTCTAAGGATAATTAATACTTGAATATAAACTTACTAGAAATGTGTGGCAGAATCAGGTGATGTCAGTCTCCCTTACAGAAACTGGCTTCTCAGGGATGAGAATCAGATGGGAGCCATTGTTTGTAATCTTGGCTATTACTACAGGAATTTGGATTTTCTATCTAAATATAAAAATTAAAACTAGCTTATGATGGGTGATCTGGAATAAACCAAAACTGTTGTTTACTTTTTATTTTCATATCTAGTTTTGCATACTGGAAAAAGGTGGTTTATTATATGCCCCGTGGTGGAAAACCCAACTACTGATGCACCAGAATTTTCTCCACCAGTTCCTCAGAGTGCACAGCAGTCTGAAGGTCCAGGTATTTACAAAGTTTAGATTTTTTAGAAAACATTGTCTCAGAAGGTAAAGAAGTCACTTGGCTTTGATCCTCAGTACCCCAGTCCCTCAGAAAACTCTGATGGCTTGGGGGAAGGCAAGGGGTGGGGGGAGGAATGGACCCTGATGTATGTCTGCCTTGGCTTAGAGCTGTACTCATCAGCCTCCAGTTCCAAGATGATAAAGAAAACTTCCTGAGATGTAGAAGAGCTCTTCTTCCTTACCCTATAAAAGGTGTACTTTATGAAGCCTAGGCCTCATTGTCTTTCTAACAGTTGAAGACAATTTTACATGCCAGAGACATCACATAGTTTGAACAACCCATCCTGTCCTGTCCTTGCTCAGGTGTTGAGGTGAAATATTTTAGAGTAATATTCCTGTTGATTAGGAAACAGATATCGCACAAAATTAGTTCACATCTTTTTTTGATGAAGAGCCTTCTTAAAGTCATGGACAACGTAAGTGTGTTTATTATGCTGAACCAAATTAGAAATGTTTATCTGAGTTTAGGGGAAGTTTCAGAGTTTTAAGTGTCTGCCTTACACTATAGTGTGGCTGAAATTCTAATCACAGGATCATGGGGGTTGAAAAGGACCTCTGGAAATGAGTCCAACCCCATGCTAAAGTGGGTTCCCTAGTGTAAGTTGTACAGGAAGGTATCCGGACGGTCCCTGCAGCCTTAATTTTTTCTCTAGGGAACACAGATCAGTTCAGGCTAGGTGTAGTTGTCACTGCAGCTAGCCAGGAGGCTCTGCAGTGACTTTGTTTCACTTCGTACAGCCCATCAGAAGTTCACATGCTGTATGTGTCCTTTCTAGACCTGGAGCAGTCGGATGATCAGCAAGCAAACTCTGCGGTGCCGGATGTGCCTGGTGTCTTAGCTTGTCAGCAGCTTCCTCTACAGGCAAGCGTCTGTGACAGCCCCATTGGGGCCTCTCCATCTTTGGCACAAATTCCTGCTGCAGCATCTTCAGCTGGCTTGCCGAGCCAGGCAGAGCTCTCAGCTCCAGCGCCACCAGGACCCGCTCCAAACATCCTGGAGCAGGCAGCTGCTAACGGAGGCCAGCCGGAATGTTCTCTACTGCAAGCAGCATTACCTCCCCCACCTGGCACTCCAGCCCCAGGTGCTGCCCCTCTGGAGGAGCCTGCTGATGCTCCCCTGGCTGCCCAGCCTACTCAGCAGGCGCAGCAGCAGGCAGATGAGGCCATGTGTATCCCTGACGTGGAGATAGCGTGTTGCAGTGTCGGGCCACCCAAAGCAGTCCCGCCAGCTCCTGCCAAGGCAGCAGAGCTCTGCCCGCTCCCTGTGCTCCCAGATGCTGTTGTTTTGGAGCGGCAGCCTGCGGCCCAGATCCCTCACCTGCCAGAGGCCGGCCAGCCCGGCGTGCTGCAGCACTCCTTTGTGAATCAAGTGTTTCCTGCATCTGTTGCATCCGAGTCTCTCAATCTGGCAGGATCTCAACTTCAGAGCCCCACTCAGGTGTCCATGGCCACATCCCAGCAGCATGTGATGCTGTCCCAGACACAGCCTGTCACCTGCGCCAGCATGGGGATCGGCCTGCTGCAGCAGCAGCAGCCGTGCACTGTGGAGTCTGATGGAGAGGGGCCACCCCGGGTGGACTTTGTTGACAACACAATAAAAAGCCTCGATGAGAAATTGCGCAACTTACTTTACCAGGAATATGTCCCGACTTCTTCTGCATCAGCAGGAACTCCAGATGCTTTTGTGCCATTGGAACAGGCAGACAGTGAATTTAACTTGCCACCATTCACCGAAGATCCCAAGTTGGTGTTGGATTTGAGAGAACCAGGCCATAACACTACGGATAGCTGCCGGGAGCTGAAAGCTGCTGAGGCCCAGTTTGTGCCAGCTGTGCCACCTGAGATCGCACCTCACCCAGTGTTGGTTAGTGCAGCAGTGACTTTGCCCTTTGTATCTCTAAATCATGGACACCACTGAAGTAGAGCCCAGAAGCAGTCTGTAGTATAACATGTGTATGGGCTTCTTGCTCCTCTAAACATTTTACATCTCCTCTGTGTATTACCTTTTGTCACTGCCTGCTTTCCATTGTGAGTGTTCTCTTAGAGTGCATCTCGTAAAGTTAGAACTTGACTCACTTTACATAAACATTTATCAGTGAAAGCCAAATTTTTCCTTTGGGTCTTTAAGCTACCAAAGATCTTAATTCACATTTCTCATCATATCCTGTTTCTAAAGCAGGCAGAAATATGACATTTTGTAGTTTAAGATAATATGCATCATGGGAATAGTCATTAAGTTCTGAAGAGGGAAGATAGTGTTTGTCCGGTCAGCTGGCTCTGACATGGTACTATCTGTGCCTCGTTTGGATGTGTAGCTGGTTACATGGGGATGTTCTGCTTCACCTTGCCTCATACTGCAGCAAATGCACACAGCAGCAGGGAGCTGGCAGAGAGTGTCCCACTTATGGATGAGGTGGAATCAGAGCAGTTTCACAGACCTCCTCTAAAGACTGATTATAGTCTATGAATAGAGTTTTGCTTTGTATCGTTATCACAAAGTTAGCAATGGTAAATGTTTAATTTGCATATTATACATTTATGACCAATTTTAGAATATGTAGTAGGTTACTGAAATAGCACAGACTCCAAACACAGCCTATATTGCTCTCTCTTTGAAAATGAAGTAGGGTAAGTAGCACCGAACATGAAATATTTATAGGATTTTTTCTAATATAAATTATTGGCAGGGATTACAATACCTGCTTTCTAAGTCAGTCAGAATAAAATAAACACCTCAGGACCCTTCACACAAGTGCTGCAGCTGGTGCAGGACTCCATAGGTTGATGATTGCCCAGTTTCCAGGAGCAATCTCTTTTGACTTCCTCTGAACTTAGCAGAGTAAGACTTCCCTGGGAAATAGGTAAGGAAAGCTGAGCTTTCCTGTTTTGGTTTTGTTGTGTTTTTAATTTTACTTAGTTTACTGGTGTTGGTGGCTTAGATCACTATTCAGTCTGGATGTGTGTTGCAGTTTCTCAGACTAAATGCTGAGTTCATGAAATTAAAAAGATTTGCAGCACTTTCTGCTAGAAGATCAATGTTTACCTTCTTTGAAAAGACTTCTTCTGGAGATAATCGCACCACCACTACCAAGGATGAGGCAGTTTCATAAAGTATGAGCTGGATGAACTGTTGGAAAGATGCAATATTTTATGGAAGTACGGCTGCATTTGAGCAACTGGTTTGAACTATGTGGTGATAAATGACCACCTACTGCAGTTACAATGCCTTGTTTATGAAAGGTGGTCTCTCTCCAGTAATTGAATCTAATCCTTCTGAAATCTGGGACTTTCTGAAGAGATAGATGCCAAGCATGTCGTTTTGCTGGAAAAGCAAAACAGAACAAGACCAAATTTCATTTATAATTCAGTGCCTATGTTGACTTAGGTTGCAGTCTCCTCTTTGTCTTCCAAGGGAGAAAAAAAAAAAAAGGGGGAGTTAAAAGAAAAGCTAAGAGGCCATAACAATATAAAATAGTTTCACACTCCACAATAGTGTGAGTATAGGGGGGGGGGAGAAAGAGAGGATGAGAATGCGTTGGCTTTGTGCTGGAGACTGAAATGCTTTTCTATTCTCTTTTTACTGAAAGCTTGAGAAGTCTGAGGCCGCTGGCATTGGGACTGAGTCCTTGGAAGCAAGAGGTGGGTCAGCAAGCCAAAGAGGTAATGCTCCTTTCAGTGCTGAGCTGCAGCGATGGATCTGTACTTGTGCCTGGTCCTCTCCTATGTCTCCTTGCTGCTAGCTCTTGGTTAACTGCCCAGCAGTGCCCGGCGCATTGCTGACCCTGCTGAAATATAACAAGTATTAAGTAGCTCGCTCCTGTCAAGCTTCCTAGAAATAAACTGCCTCACAGGCAGATTTATTTTAAACCGTAAGTAGGTAATATATGCCTATGGTATAGGGTGTTCATGTGGAAGTCTGTGATCTCAACAGTAAATTTCTGCCATTACTGCCATTAAAACATCTGAAAAGAAAGTCCCTTGGATTTCTGGGGCTGCATAAAAAGGAGTTGATGGAAATCATATGGTTGAGGGTAGCATCTCCGGGGGAGAAGCTTGTAAGATGTTTGAGAGTCCCATGGAGAGCTAGGAAAAAGTTCTTTTCATTAAGTACTTGCAGATATAATGGCAATTTCCATAATAACACAGTAGGAGCAGTAGTAAGAAACTGAGTGGTTGTAATACTCCTTTTACCTGTCTTGCAAGCCATGAGAAGTCTTAAGCATTGAGGAGTTTGAAACTCCTGCCCCTGTCACAGGTGGCAGGTGAGGCAGGGCTGGTCATTTCTTTTCTGAGATTGTCATGGCAAAGTGATGCCATGTTTGTGTGATAGCAGACAGTTC